AATAATGTGTCTTTTCTCAGTGACGTGTTCTGGCGGATGCTGGAACGGGGGGGAATGCACCGCCGTCAACGGAGTGGCCAAATGCATTTGTCCTTCCGGCTGGACTGGATCAGAATGCCAGTATCGTGAGTTTTATGATTGTTTCTAATGATCTGATCAAAAAGGTTGAAGCTTTCACATAGAGCTGCTCTATCTGCTGTTTCCACAACCACATTAATTTGACGCTACGCTTTAATCCTTTAATTTTATCAGGATTCATTTACAAACAGAGTAGCAGCAAAGAGGTCTTTGGAATTTGGTTTCAGCTCATCAAAAAGAGATGATTTTCATTTCTTGGGGTTAGAGAGAGATAAAATCAACATTTTGAGTCTGAGTTAATAAGAAAAGATATCCAGTGTTTAGCTCTATTTGAATAAACAGAGAACAAACATATAGCATTGAGTTTTCTCCTGCAGCTTGTTTCTACCCAAATGATGCAGAAATGTTTAAGTTAAAGAAATGTATAGTGATATTATTTCTCTGGATATATTAGCAATTCAGTTTCTATCCTGGTTTCTCTGCTCTTATCATTTTCCTCAAAAAATCTTTCTCTTTGGTTTGTTTGCGCTGTTCTTGCAACAGCGATTTGTCCCCAGGGCTGCAGAAATGGGGGGACCTGTATGGCTCCAGGAATCTGCAGCTGTCCAGAGGGATGGTTGGGTGGTGCATGTCACACTGGTGAGTTAAACACACAGCAGTCACCCTCTATACACTATGTAGTCTTTTCTGTTTAGTTTATTTCCAGAATTGTCTTTTTTTTCCTCTCCTTTTTGTGTTGGGTTTATGGCGTCTGGTTTTCCAGGCTTATCTCTGGCTCTTCGGATTTTACTGAATAAGCTAACACCTTTGCTTTTGTTTCCTTTGTCTCTGCTCCAGCCGTCTGCAGTCAGACCTGTCTGAATGGAGGGAAGTGCATTTCTCCCAACAAATGCCGCTGTCGGCCTCCTTTCTCCGGTCCTCGCTGCGAGGAGAGGAAAAAATCCCACTAATCATTCCCAGACTGCAGAATAAGCGTTTTTCATTTGTAGCTAAAACATTGTTCTCTATACCTTTTTTTTAATGCAGCATATTTTTAATACAGCTTTTTTTTGTATTTTTTTTTTAAATACTGTAAATTGCCATTAAATTACAAAAACGTATGGTGTGTAAAATGTTTATTTACAAAAAAAGTCAATACAACTGTATTTAGCTTTGATGTAAATAACTGCAACATATTTCTATCAGTCTTCATGATGTTAATTATTCCCACTCTAGTAACAAACCAAGCTCAAAAAGAAAATTTAAAATACAAAATACATCTACTTGATTAAAGGGAAAACAGATTACAACTTATTTCAATGCAAATAAAACAGATTTCAAAACAATATTAACCTTGTATTGTTGCTTTTCCCTCATTTATTTGCTAGGAACCCGGAAAAAGCAACAACTTTAAGTTTGCAAACACCTGATCGCTGAAAATTGCTGCAAATTTTTTTTGACTATATTGAGACACACACAGAAACAGGGCAACAAGGAATATCAGCATTAATCTAGTATAAAAATCGGGAGACACAGTGATGAATACAATGGATCACAATAGAAGTTTACACACCTGTTACTGTAAGTTTTCCTCTTTTCTTAATATATGAATTTTGTACAATTTAGCTAAAATTATTTGCAATATAATAACCAGGTTTCATACACTTGTTCACACTTATAGTCATTCTTGCTGTAGCTGTAAAGGAAGAGGTGTTTTCCTGAAATTTGTTTAATCAATTTTTTTTGTATTCTTTCCAAAATTCATAAAAACCTCATAGAGAAAAGACTTGAACAGTCAAAAAGGGCAACTGAAAGCCTTAAGAGCCTCATGGAGGAGCTGCATCAGTACTGATTTTTTTTTTTGTATTTATTTGCAGTTTAGCTGAATGAGGCATTAGGGTTAAAAAATGGACACCTTTTGAACTATGCAGTTCAAACTAAAAGAGGAAGTATTATGATCTGAAGGGACCAAATCTGACCTTTTGGACCACGGCTACAGAAGGTTTAGATTTAGCACCAGGACATCCCATAGTAGAAAACCATGAGCACAGTGACTAACCATGAGCGTTCTTAGCTAAAATCTGTTAAAGTTTGTGAGCAAGAGACGTCCTTGAATAGCTTTTGGTAGAGCGGGTAAATATTAAAGTTAGTACTTCAATACTGATAAAAAAAAATACTGAATGATGTATTTTCATCAAATAAATCCTTTAAATGATGTCTTACATTCACTATGCAGGCTTGAACAGGTTATGCTTTATGTCATGTTAAAGAAAAGGTTGCAAAATAGTTTAAAATGACACCCCAACATGTCTCTGACAGGGTATGTGCATCTATGGTACATAAAACTCAATATATTCAAAGTTCTTTAAATGAACAGATTTTTCTTTAAAGCTTGAGGTAGAGAAATGAAGGGACCAAAACACAATTGCAATAAATCCTGTCCTTTGCTTAGTTTACATGGGAACGTTGTTCTCCATCTTACGCTCAGATACACACTCAAAGTGTTCCTCCTGTTTTATATCTCTTGCATCCTTCATAATTCCTCATCTCGTCTTCTCATGCATACGAAGCCTGCAAACAGCACATTGGATTTCACACATAAGAATCCAGATCAAGGTACACATCTCATGTTTGGACTGGTTCTTTAAGCTATTGCAGATTATAGAGTAGTTTAACTACCACCTTTGTAGCACAAGTAAGGCCTTTGAAGCCTCGCCGACAGTGGCAGTGGTCGGGTAATACACACCGGCCTCCGTTCAGGCAGCGCCGTTTACAGATCGCTGGAGAGAAACAAGATTAATACAGTTAGGGTAAATAAAATAGTGTGGTAAGAAAATAAGGCAGGACACGCAATAAAAAACTTGAAATAAATCAAAATTATCTGCAAAAGCATTTTGCAGGAATCTCAAAACAAAGAGACTCGTAGTAATTCCTTGTTTTTTACCTACATAGTGAAACACTGAAGATCAGCTGATAGTTAATGCTAACCAACCATATAAGCTAAAGGGACATTTTTTGTTGTAGTCCTATTTTTATATAGCCACATGATTAATTATACTTATTTATTACACGGAAACCTAGAATTACAAAATACAAATGTCATAGTTTTAGTAAATTCATAAAAACAAATAGAATTCTGTAATATTTTGTTGAAGCATCTTAAGAATTAATTGCTGCTTCAAGCCTAGCCCACATGATTTTTGGTGTTTTCTCTCTGTACTTTGATTTAATAAAATTCAATAAAAAAATTTTTTATCCCAGAGGAAAATTACATCTTTTAACTCTAATTGGAGTTTCTTCAGTGAGTTTTTTTTAAATGGTAAAGGTTGTAGGCAGGATGGATCTTCTGTAGTGGTCTGTGTAACAGCGGCACTGGAGAAACCTCTGACTGAAGACAATGTTGTTGGAGGCTCAGAATTGTACATTAAGTTCTTCGTTTATGAATAATTCTTCTATGTAAATTGCTTGTAGTCGAGTTCCTAGAATGGAGCTTCTTTAGGTTCTTTGGGTCTTTGCTCTGTTGCTGAGAGAGTTTTTGAAGACAAGCAGCATCTTGTTTCTTTCAGAAGTACAGTCCACTCTTCACCATTACCATCGCACTCCACAACTCTGCCAGGTTGTGAGGGAGGTTATGGTGGACAGCAGTTTTCACCTGGATTCAGACTAAAGGGCTTTGGATTAGCCACTAATACATGTTCAAAGACTGCTTCTTTTGTTGCCAAATGCAGGGAGGACTTAACAAGCAAGCCCTCTAACATCATGGTGTGGTTTCTGCTCTGGTATAACCTGAACTTAAAGACATTGTGTTTTATCCCAAATCCTGTTTGGTCCTTTTCCAACAAATGAGCTGTTATCATTTTGCAGAAACATATCAAAGAAACAGAACTGATCAGAGCACCTCTGAATATTTATGTACACAACTACTCTTTTTCTTAATAATCTTCATATATTTGTAACTAACCTTTCTATTTCATCATTAAAAGGATTTTGCGCAATGAACCTCAGGGAGTAAATTAATACGGGTTTTTCTGTTACAGTAAATAGAGTGTAAAAAAGTAAAACAACTCAGAGTTACTCTATAGGTGTAGAAAATTAAAAACCAGCAGGGTTAGAATAAAGAAAATGGTTAAGGTCAGGAGACATTTTTAAATGTAAACTTTACTTTAAAGATTATATTACTTTAAACAGAATTTAACTCTGAAATAAAATTAGGTATATTCATGCATCCATGTCATACATTGACTTTCTAACTAGAAAAAGAAAATTTTTCCATTTTAAAATCTAAAGTGTTTTTTTGAAGTAGAGAACAACAATCTTTCAGTTTGGTATATACATGTAGACAATTTCCTGATTCACATATTTTATAAAACACCTAAACTGATCGTTTGTAATTGTTTTCTCTTTTTTATGGCTAAAGAGAGCAGTGGGCTTTAGGCTCCCTGCAAGGCTTTAAACCTGGGTTTGAATGGAGACTAAGCATTCTCAAGCACATATCAAGGAGCTCATTCTGAGCCTGGATCCATATTTATTTTTGATTCTGTTCATGGTGGAGAATCCTGCTTCACAGCAGTAGGTTGAGCCAAACATACTCTAAATATGCAGGGTCATCTTTGAGCACGCATTTTCAATTTTCTTTCACCAGTTCACCACAGTTCTTCCAGCAGTCCACACTTTCACTTTTTCCCATCGTCTTCTCCTTCTTTCCCATCGCCCGGCTTGCCACAGGTTTGCCTGCTGTGTCTAAAAGCAGCTTGCAGCAGCAGCCCAGACTGACTCAGCTCATTGGCTAATTTGTAGCATGTGCAGCCCGGTCTTGGGCGTTCCAGAGGGCTTTACCGTACAAACAGGAGAAGTGGCGCAAGTGAAATTAGACACTGCTGTCAGACAACATGCGGTAATTTATAAATGTTTTAAATCAGGTTGGATCAGGATTAGCCAGCAGGTGGGTCCGGATCCGGACCGCGGTTCATTAATCCGTGTCCTTTGCTCTAGAAGGTGGAAGCACTGTACATGTGTGATTTACAGACTCACGTGTTTGACAGTGCAGACCTTCCCAGCCCGAAGGACAATGACACGTGTTTGGCCCGACGCACTCACCGCCATTTTTACACTTTTGCAAACAAACAGCTGCAATAAAAACAGAGACAGAAAGAAATTATTTTAAGGACTTTAGCTACTAATGGATTAAAAAAAAAAAAAGGTTAAGTTTGGCTTTACAGAAATAGTACATGTAGAAGCTATGATGTCCTATGAAGTGGCAGGCCAGGTAGATAAAATAAACAACATAGTTTAGTTGAAAGATTAAAATAAACAAATAAGATTCACAAATGAGTTAAAAAAGATCTGTCAAATGGAAATGCAGGAGAAAAATTATTATTAAATAAGTTTTCAGATTCACCTTATGTGTGCACAGATTGTATGTTTTTTTTTTTCGATAACTTGGATAACTTTTATTTGAGCTGTTTAGTGCACTTATGAGTAGTGCTACTATTAAATACAATAAGGGTGAATTTGAAGAAGGGAAGAATTAAGCTTACATCTAACTCAGAGCAGATATTTATACAGCGGAAACACTTTCAGTACTGAGGAGGAATAACATATTTTTAATCTTTGAATATAATGATCAAATCCATGTATGCATCAGTAAATCCCAAACCAAAAACAAAGCTGTTATTGTTACTGTTGTTGTTTTCCATAATTGCATGTTTATGTTTCAAAGCAGAGTTTTGCACAATTACAGTAAAATGTTTACATGCACCGCTGGACTATTTTTGTAATTTTTCTATTTGTTATTGTGAGGCTCTAAATACATTTGTTGTATTTGCAGCTAAAAAAGACAATGACAAATTTATAAATACTTCATTTTACTCTGTTCACCCAGAACTAGAACCAATCATAGAGAGGCAGCATTCAGCTCCTATGCTCCACTTATTTGGAACAAATTTCCAGAAGAAAGGAAAAGTGCTGAAAGCCTGAGTTCTATAAATCCAAGATAAAAACCCATTTGTTTTTGGTCCTAATTTTTTATTTGCTTTACTACCTGCTTTTATGTTCTTTCCATGTTATTGTTAAATTATTGAAAAGCATATTGAATTTTCTTTGCACAGAATTATGCTC